TTGTATGTGTTGGGGGTGGCGGTATTTTGTTGTTAAGACATGGAGGATTTGGGATTTGTTTTAAAATGAGGTTGGAGAGAGATGGGAAAGAGAGTTGTGACTTCATTGGAGATTTTGTGGGTGTTTGAGCTGAAAACAGCCAGGAGTTCACAGGCTGGGTGTGTGCGTGTGTGTTTTTAATGTTCAATGGTAATACACAGTTCACTGGTAATGCACATGATTTGAAAAATAATAATTTATATGATATTCAAAGAGAAGGAAAAAAAGTAGTCAGTGCAAAGTCTGTCTCCCTCCTACTACTGACTTCACATTTTCCTCCTAAGATGCAGCCGGTGGTACCCGTTCCTTCCAGAATATTCTCTACATTTACGTGTGCAGAATGTATCCATCTGCATCTTTCTTTTTTCACCTAATGGTATATCTTGGAGCTCATTCCCTACCTGGAAATAGCGATCTGCCTCATTTTTAAAAATGAAACATTCATTGCACAGATGGGTTAGATTTCAGACGCCGTTCAGACAGCAAGATGTTGGATCCTGGACTGTGAGCCTAGGGGACGTTCTGCTACTGCCTCTCTCTTCACATGGTTCTAGGTTGGTTTTCTGTCTCCCCCACCTCCACACTCATCACACTGCCTGGTTAACTTACCAGCAGATGCTCAGTGGGGTTCAGGGAGGAGCTCAGGTCCAGGGGCCAGGAGGTCAGACACTAGACCTCCACTGCCCAGTGGCAATACAGTGTGAGCACATCTGTGATTTTTAACTGCATAGTAACATTCCAAAGCATCAAAAGCAACAGGTGAAATTAATTTTCATAATAATTTTGCTTAACCCAATAGACCCCAAACATTACCCTTTCAACATGTAGTCAATATTGGGAAATTATGAAGATATTTGATGTTCTTTTACTCCTCCTAGTCTTTGAGACCCCATGTGTGTTTCACTGTTACGTCACATCTCAATGGAACCAGGCACATTTCAGGGGTTCACGTGGCTAGTGGCTGCCCTGTTAAACAGATAGGTCCAGACTGCCTAGCTGTTGCTGATCCATATCAAATGAACACCCCACCCCTCCTTTCTTCTCGCAGCATCTTGTTTCCTTATTTTTGAGTCGGAAAGCTGGACAGTCTTTTGGATTTTAACGGCTCCTCTTCATCCTAAGGTTCACGGACTTTAAGTGCTAAAAATGGGAAGCCCTGGGCAAGCCAGGACAAGTGGGCCTCCCTGTTGTAGCTTAATTTCCACATCTATAAAATGGAGACAATCAAACGTGACCTGGGTCAGGGTGAGGGTGAAAAGTGTGGCAGCCAATGAAGATATGCTTGGAGGGGAATGCATCGTCCTCATGGGATTGTTACTAGAATTGAGATTGACCCTGGTGAGTGCCCAGAACCACTCGCTTAGAGCCAGGGCTACCCTCTCCCTTTCCTTCTCTGACCCTCAGTCACCTTGAACTTCTGTAAGGTGAGGATAAAAACAACACTTGCTTCATACCGTCACTGTCAGGATGAAATTAAGCCGCCCATGCCGAGGGCTCAGCGCCACGCTTAGCACACAGTAAACAATCGCTAGAAGCTGTTCTCACCATTCCTCTGGTGCAGACGTGGGCCCAGGGTGGGGAGAAGCGTGCCCAAGGTCACACAGCAAGATGGTAGTAGCAGACGCTGGCCTATTTCGGCTCCCTCCCTCTCCCTGGCAGTCATCCCCGGAAAGTCAGCCGCAAATTTCCTCGCAGCAAGGTAAATGAAATAAATACACCCGAAGCCACGGAACTACTCCAGTGAGGCCTGGGGCCAAGTATTGTTTCCATGGTATGTGCGCCGGCATGCACACACACGTGATTTGTTTAAAATCGCAGATTCAAAGGGCAGAGGCTGGGTTGGCAGGATACGCTACCCAGCACCCGTCTCCCTGTATTCAGTGCCTTGTACCATGACCGGCATGAGATTCCTCTGTGTGATTTCAAGCAAAGGGCCCCCTTCTAGGTGGCCCTTGGCGTACCTTTGGACAGACTGGGATGGAGGAGAAAGTGCCCTGAATTAAAAGCCAGGAAGTCCGAATCCTTACATCTTATGTAACAGTAACAGGCAGCCACTTCTTCTGAGCGTTTGACTCTGATGTTGCTGAAACCCTTGCACTTACTGCTTTATTTAATCCTCCCAGTTACCCAGGGAGGGAGTAATTACCTGATGAGCCCATTTTACAGATGAGGAAGCTGCGGTTCAGAGAAGGTAAAGAACTCACCCAGAAACACACAAATAGAGCAAGAGAGGGCCTTGAAAAGTCTTCCCTGTGGCAGAAGGGTGGCCAGCCATCCCAGGTGCTCCAGGGTTGAGGGGGCTCCTGGACGCAGAACATTCACAAAGCAAGATAAGTGAGATACCGAACCTGATCCCCGTCGGGGTATGGATGAAACTATGGCAGCAGATGAAGCTGTGCTTTGGGGAGAGAGGCATAGTATTGAGGGATTGTTATTAAGATTAGGGTTGACCCTGGTGAGGGTTCGAATTGCTTAGATGGAGAGCTTGTTCCCCCACACCCACCCGCCCTCCCGCGCTCTCCCGCTCTCCGCAGACACTGAATATCTCTCCCTCTCCCAAGCCCTGCCTCTTCCCAGTTCCTTCCAAAGATCAAGTTGCCTTTCTAAGGCCAAAGTCTGAGCAACAGCATTTCCATTTCCCAAGCACCAGCCAACAGCCCTCTCTGATTTAGACAGCAGCTGAGAGAAAGAGGAAGAGCTGGGAGTGGTCGGGGATGTTCGTGGGTTGCTTGCTTTCTTTATTCTGAAGCCAAGCCCTGGCTCTGTCCTTTAGTAAATTCTGGCCCAAGCCAGGGTGTGGAAGAAGAGAGCTTGGGGGCCCCTCCTCCCCAAGAGCTCACTTTCAGGCTCCTTCTTTAATTAAAGAACGGAGCCCAATGCCAAACTTGGACACTCAAGGGAGATCTGGAGGTCCCTGCCTCTATCTAAACAACGAACATCCTGGATTTGGTACCCGGGAGAAATGGGGCTCCAGGAGAGTGAAGGAAGCAAGGCAGAGGTGGATGGGGTGGACCAATCCTCCCCCGTGTGGAAGGACATAGTGGTTCTGGATGGTTTTCTTTGCCAGCCAGAACCCCAGCAGCAAGATGCTGAAAGACACTCAGCCTGTCAACACACGGGCCACACACGCTCACACACACAGCAGAGAAATGACACAGCACGAGGGCGATGCATGAATACACAGAAACACACACACAGCGACGCCAGATGGAGAAGGCAGCCCGGGCTGGGTCTGGGTATTCAAGATTCCCTCACCCACACAGAGGGGCTGGCGGACTTACATAACGCAAGCTGCAAAAGGGAGAGGCTGAACTTGCTAACCACCCGCCCGCCCCTCCACCCCGCGAAAGGGATCCAGGAGGTAGCATCTCCTTCTCGGGGTTATCTGCACGCACCTCCTGTGCTCAGAGGCAGCAGGAGTTTATCAGCTGCCTCAGCCCTGGGGTGACCCCCGGAAGTCGCTAAAAAGGAAACAAGGGAGTGTCACTTTGTTAGTAGTGGCAGATGGGGGCTCCCTCCTTGTGCTAAGGAGTCGAGGATGCCAGCAGCAAGAGATGCCAGGGTGGAGAGGAAACTGAGGCTCGAGCTGGGGGATAGGAAAGAGATGGGAGGCATTCTCTGCTGCCCACAGCCCACAGAACACCTGCCCCAACCCAGACACAGAAAACACACACACAGCTGCCTGCTGCAGACGCATCACAATTGCACACACCTCACCAGGGCCACAGCATCCCCAGTTGGCCTCCCTGTTGGCCTTTGGTACCCCAGCCATACCCCATTTCTCCCAGCCTGGAGGAGCTGGTGGCATTCGCAAAAATAACTTGATTATAAATTTTTAAAAACTAGAGTATAAATTTTAAAACTCAGGCTTAAGAGTGGAGCTGATTTGAGTTCAAATCCTCCATCCATCATCGTTCTCTACGTGACCTTGGACAAGTCACTGAACCTCCCCGAGCTTTGGTCTCCTTGTCTGTTGAAGGGTTACTGTGAGGATCAAAGGAGGAAAAATAACACACATTAAGAACAGACATGTCAACAAGTGTTCGCTATGTTAGTCTTTGGGGCTTTTTCCGTTTTATTTTTCTTACTCTTTTTCTAATGAATGCACTGGGAATTGAACCCAGGACCTCGTGCATGCTAAGCATGTGCTCTACCACTGAGCTGTACCCTCCCCTCAAGGGGCTGTTTCTTTTTCATTCAACAAATATTCATTGAGCACCTACTGTGTTTTATCTAACCCTAGGGGTATCCAGTCCACACTTCCTAATTTTTCTCTGTTAGGGTCTCAAATAGTCTTTGGTACCCAGATGTCCTCCCACGTTCTATGTGGACCCATGTCTTTGGTATTTATTATGCCAGCTTTGGTTTATAGTGGTTTGGAATGGGGCCAAGTCTATCCTTTTGAAGCTGGAATAAGTTGATAGTTACAAAAATGGTCCTAAAGGCCAGTTGACATCCCTGGTCGGTGGAAGCGGGCATCGTTCCCTGTCTGGTAAGTTTGTTGTGGGGGCTTTGGGAGCAACTGGAAGGGAGAACCTGGAGATCTTTGTCGGCTGAGCTCCTGACCTGAGGATGGAAAGTGTTGCAAAATGCAGAGAGTCAAAGGCTGGGTGAAAAGTTGGAATGGTGGCTTCTTGCAGTGGGAAAGAGATAAGAGAGGTCTTATGACTCTTGCCATTTGATTTCTGGGGCTGTCAGTGGCTTCCCCCAGGAGACCCTCGGTCTCACAGGGCTTTGATCGTGGCACTGAAACCAGGCAATACGCAGCTACCTAGGAAGGTATCCCCCTTGAGGAAGAAGGAGTTCGTTTTTAGGTTGGCTTCAAAACTCCAGAGCATCTTACGGCTAGGCTTCTAGGTTGCCTGCATTTCCCATCTTAGTTTTAAAGGTGGTTCTGGGCACTCCACATCCATCTCTCCTTTTTAAGTCTTTTCATTCCCTCCCTTGTTCCTTCTCTTCAGCTCAGGAGGCCCCAGACTGGATCTGCATCTAATGGGCTAGTGATGCCCGGAGGATAGTCCATGCTAGCATGCGTCACCTCTAGACACATCCACCAGACACTTCTCCTCCACTGTCTGCCTGACCCGTTGCTTAGGGACACGTCCCACCGCTTCCCCTGACGTCTGCTTGATCAACCGTCGTTTCCTTAGAGAACAAGGAAGGAGGCAGACGCAGGAAATCATGCCACCGACAGCCCAAGAGCAATGAGTGAATGATGCGGAGTTGACGTCAAAGGCAGAGAAGACCAAGACCCAACAGCAGCTCCCTCTCCAGACTCCCCTCGGCCCTGCAGCTTCGGCCCCTGGCTCCTTCTCTCAGCACAGCCTGAAGCCTGGCTCCTCCTGGGGAAATCGTCTCAGCTTGACGTATTTTGAGATCTTCAGACCCCTGGACACTAGACACCATGGAGAATCACATGTTCAGTGTTCAGCAGATCCAACCCAACGTCATTTCTGTCCGCCTCTTCAAGCGCAAGGTAGGGGGCCTGGGGTTCCTGGTGAAAGAGAGGGTCAGCAAACCGCCTGTGATCGTCTCCGACCTGATCCGAGGGGGTGCCGCAGAGCAGAGCGGCCTCATCCAGGCTGGGGACATCATTCTCGCGGTCAACGGCCAGCCCTTGGTGGACCTGAGCTATGACAGCGCCCTGGAGGTGCTCCGGGGAATTGCCTCTGAGACCCACGTGGTCCTCATTCTGAGGGGCCCCGAGGGCTTCACCACGCACCTGGAGACCACCTTCACCGGGGACGGGACCCCCAAGACCATCCGGGTGACACGGCCCCTGGGTGCTCCCACCGCAGCCGTTGATCTGTCCCACCCATCATCAGCCAGCAAAGAGCAGCCACTGGCAGTGGACGGGGCCACGGGTCCTGGCAATGGGCCACAGCACGTGCCAGACATTGGGCAGGAAGCCGGCTCACTCTCCCACGCTAACGGCCTGGCTCCCAGGCCCCTGGGCCAGGACCCTGCTAAGAAAAGTCCCGGGGTCGCCCTCCAGGGTAGCGAGGACAATAAACTGCTCAAAGAAATAGAGCCTGTGCTGAATCTTCTCACCAATGGGGGCAAAGGGATCAACGGAGGGGGACCTGCCAAGGCGGAGACAAAGGATGCAGGAGTCCAGGTGGACAGGTAAGCCCACAGGTGCGTGTGTGTGTTGTATGCAAGGGTGTGTTGCAATTCAATCTCACAGCCCAGCAGCCAACTGGAGCTGGCCCAGACGTCTGCACAGGTGCATCCACTCAAGCACCCTTGTCTCTTTCCCTGAAAATTGCCTTTGCAAGTGTGGGATGGGCGTAACGTCCCACGCGTCTCTCTCCCAGCCAAACCCAGAGCTCATGATGATGGTAGCCAAGGTCACATCTTCCAGCAACCCCACAGGGTGGGTATTTTTGTAATCCACATCTCACAGTAGGAAGACTGAGGTTCGGAGAGGGGGGGCATTCCCCGAGGTCACCCGGAGACTGAGAGGCTAGTGTGCACAGCAGACTCAGGTGCGGGTGGATGCCGAGGCTGTGGGGAGAGATGGGAAGAGCTGAGTGCTGGGGACCCTTAGACCAAGCTATCTGTCTCCTGGTGACGGCCAGTCCAGGCCTGGGAAGCTTCTAAAGGGAGGAAATGGAGTCAAAGCAGAGAATTGGCCCCCACTCCCCAAAATGCTGGACTTGCTCAGATTATATGGGAACCGGGGCTCAAACTTGAAGAACTGGGGACCAGCCCCTCTGTATTTGCCAGATTGGAATCTTCTGATTCTCCGGGGAAGGAGAGCTGGCAGCGCAGTCCGTGATTCTAGCTCTTTGCTTGGGGAGAAATCAGCAGCTAGGCCAGGGGGTCAGGGAACAGTGGGCCAGGAGATGGGAGACAGAGGGGCGTTTCTCTCTGCCTTCCGCTCCCATCATAGGTCTGGCACTGACCTTTCAGCCCGCGGTGCCACCAGGCAGACCCTTCTTATCCACAGAGAGGGACTCAGGTCTGAGCCCCCCAGAAATCCAGACCCAAGACTTCCCAGCCCCCTCCTCAAGGACCCTCGAGTGTCCCAAGAGCATTTAGAGGTCACCAGGAAGTCTCTTGGGCGCCTGGGTTAAAGTTGCTTCCCAGACCCCTGCATTTATTCATTTAACTAATGTTCGCTGAGGACCTACCTTGTGCCGGACACTGTTCTGGGCACCTCAGGGCAGAGCAGTGAATGGAAAAGACGGGTCCTCTGATCCTATGAGTGAATGAGACAGACAAAGCCCCTGACCTTGGGGGGCTTACAGTGCAGTGGGGAAGACACAGATGTAAACTACATAGACTGCTGGTCATATGTGCTAAGTAAATAATAGTAAATAGAACTGGGGAGGGGTTGGGAAGTACTGAGGAGGGTGACATTGCAGATAGGAAGTTGGCAGGTCTCCCTAGGAAGGCGACACTGGAAGACCCGGAGGGAAGGGCTAGAGGGAGCCCTGGGGCTTCATGGAGGAGGGGCGTTCCAGGCAGCGGGAAGGGCAGGTGCCAAGGTCCTGAGGTGCCAGTGTGCCAGCCGTGTTTGAGGAACTGCACGGGATCGAGTCCTCCTTCCTGGTGGGGCAGCCCCCCCAGTGGTGGCAGCCCACCACGGCCCACCATTACATCCTGGGGCTTTTCCAGCTTCTGATACCTGGGCAAAAACTGACCCAGTCCCAGCCAGACCCCAAGTAGGAAGGTGGAGGCTCTGTCAGAAGTCCCAGGGCAGAGGGGAGACAGGTCACCTGCTGCCCTTCCAGCCCCTGCCCTTCCTGCTTCAGCAAATTCCCTGCGGACACTCTGGAGTCTCCCCCACACCTTTGGTCCTGTCTCCGTGGGAGATGGTGAGTCTTGGGCCCCATACACAGGACAGGGTGTGACGTTTTTGGTGGGGCAGATGGCTGGGGTCCCCCGGTGCCCTGATGTCCGTTTCCAAAGCTGGGGGCCAGGATCCATCCTTGGGGCTCTCCTGGTAGCAGAGACCTGGAGCCTGATTCTCCCATGACTAGCACAGGACCCCACCTGCCGCAGACTCGGGGGAGCTGCCACCCCCCAGGGGTCTCTGTAGTGGCACACCCAGTGGAGATGGCATGATTAGCTTTGAGATAGCTTCTGGGCACACACTAACCACCCCCCCCGCCCCGGTCTCACTCCGAGGACTTAAAATTCTAAAACAGCTGTAGAATCTGGAATCTATCACGGGTCTTGTTTTCCAGAAGACATTGGAAGTGCCCATCCTCAGACGCTCCTGGGCACAACCTCTTCCTCGTAATCCGATCCGTGCCTCCCTCATCCCCAGCACCGCCTCTCCCAAGAGGGGCAGTGAGACCCTGAACGGGGCCCCTTACCTGGTGCGGCAGCTGAGCCCTGTATCTCATGACCTATGCACTTGGTTCTGATTATCAGCTGGGCATGGGCCGGGCATGGGGTGTGCGCTGCAGAATTCCTGGGGGCTCTATTTCAGAAACCCACCCCAGCCCCAGGAGTCTGACTCTGGTGTGTGGTACGGAGAAGTCCCTCCCATTGCTGGGAGCTGGGAGCTGGGCCCTCCACCTGAGGGGCCAATGGGACTCCCTCTCCCAGCCGACAGTCCAGGACATAAGGGCTGGGGACAGGCCACCAGGCTGGGATGAGATCGGCAAGTGTAAGGAATGTTAACAGAAGCCCTCTTGGTGGCCAGGCCCAGAGGGGGCCTCTCCAAACCTCATCTTGGGGAAGGAGCCTTTGTTTCCCGGAGGAGGAGGGTGGGACAAGCCGGTCTGACATGGGGCCCTGCTCCCACAGACCTTTTTTCCCAACTCAAGAAGCTACATCTGAGCTCTCAGCTGCCTTCGTCCCTCAGGGCCCTCCCTCCAGGGACCCCGCTTCAGTCTCGCACGTGGTATAATTATTTGACCAAAAGCAGGAGGAAAAAATCTGCTTTGGTGGAGGTACAGTTCGGGAGAAAGTGACCTGGGGCAGGTCCATGCCTCTGGGAGACCCACTGAGGTGAGTGGTTCTCAGGATGGGTTATGTTGGATCAGAGCTCATGTTCCCCCAGCCCGGTGACTGGACCCAAAGCTCCCCACCCCCATTTTTCAAACAAAAATTTTTAAATTCCCCCTTTACTGATGAGGAGCTCTTTCATGGATCATGTAACCTACCCACATTTCACATTTTTTAACATCAACATAATGCCCTAATTATAAAATAAAGGAGATAGAGCATAAAATTAATTTATAATAAAAGAGCCTGTAATTTAATATATCAGTGCCCAGGCACGGCCCCCCTGGAATGTCAGATGTTTTCGCCTAAACGGAGAATGGCTGCAGACGCCACGGCATCAGATGCAGATTGACACAGGTGTGTTGTGTTGGCAACTCAAATGCCACCTGCAGCGTCGCCTTGGTGATGTGATTTTCTGAGATGGCGAATGAATGATTCCTGATAAAACGATGTCCTATCTTTCTTTGATTTACCCAATAGTTGCATGCATGGCAAATTCAGTTATCACTTAAAGGCAAATTTGTACGTTAAGTCCGAACCAAGATCTTGACTGAGAAATTTAAGCTTTTTTTTTTCTTAATCTACGTGGATGTCCAAAGTTTGCCAGCAGTCAGGACCCATCTTCCTTGAGTGGGTTTGTCCCTGGTGTTGTAGGATGCCCCCCACCACCAATGCCACCTCCCTCCCACTGTGATGCCGGGAGTACTGGTCACCATCGTTAATAACCACCAAAGCACCCCCACAAATTGCCAGACTGTCTGCTTGGGGCTGAAAGAGTAAGTGTCTCATGATGAATCAGTGTCCCAAGTCAGGAAATGGAAGCCCAGGGACAGGGTATTCTTCAGGGCTGCTGGCCTGGGAGGATTCAAGCCCCCTGGACCACAGGGCTGCCTGGAAATGACTCATCCTCCCAGGGGCCTCGCCAGCCAGGCTGCTTTTGGGGGTGAGGTCGGAACTGGCATCCTGGATGCTGGGTGACAATGAGGCCAGCTGCCTACCAGGCCCAGAGCCCCACGAACTCGGCGTCAGTGGCTTCTGGGTCCATCACTGGTTCTCAGCAGCAACCTTGACTCTTCTGCTCTCTTGGCCTCATTTTCTTCCTGCCATCCTTCTTTCCACTTGGACGTGGACTTATTCCCCTGCTCTGTCCTAGTCCCTTTCCCTCACAGGGCACCCCTAGTCCTGTTGTTCGGGGTGCTGCTTTCTCTCCTGTTATTTGGGGGGAGAAGTGATGCTGACTTTAAACACAGACTCATCTCTCCATTCCCCCGCGGGAGGTGGCCCTGGCAGGCGGTGGCAGCAGGTGAGGGAGTGTCAGGGAGGAAGGCGGTGAATTCGGGACCTTGTGCACTTGGGAACGGTCACTTTAAAATGCTGCATGTCAGAGGATATCCAGGTTGCTCAGCTTGCTGCCCTGAAGGAGGGTTCTAAAGAGGCCAAGGTCCCCGGTCCAGCATCCATCTGGACTAGCCGGTTAACCTCGCCCTGCGCTCTGATAACTTCTCATCCACTTGCAGGGCACTCGGTTACTTATGAGTGTAACTTCACAAGTCACCTCTTCAGAGCTTGCGTGAGTTCAGCTCCCTGAGTAGGATCTGTGGCTTTAGCCCCTGGTTATAGATGAAGAAACTAAAGCTCAGAGAGGTGAAGCAACTTGCCCAAGGTCACACAGCACTGGCCACAGGGTTCTATCTTGGCTCTACCTAGAAATCTCATGGTAAATGTCTAGAGTTGAAGAGATACCAGACAAGAGAATGTGGCTGGAGGAACGGAAGTCAGTTTCAACCCTAGAGAATCAGCTTAATTGGGGGAGGGTTCCTCCATCTGTATCAAGCCTGAGTTTCATCATCATCATGCAAATCAGCCTCTGCTGAGCATACCAGGTTGGCCTGGCCCCAGGCTAAGGCCTTTACATCAGATAATTCACTTCCTTCTCATAGCACCCTGCATTCCTGATACTGAAACCAAGGCTCAGAGAGGTGCAGTCACTTGTACCAGGTCACACAGCCAGCAAGGGGCAAAGCCAAAACTTGACGCTAAACCCATGCTCTTGCCCTCTGCTGACTTTGTAGATTGCACTGTTGGCCACAGTGCCCTTGGCCACTAAGCGTCAAATTTCTGAGGACGTCAGAATATTTTCTCAGTCTTAAAGGGAAACGGAG